TGACCATTCTCACTCCAGATTCCTCTTCTATTTACTTGGAATAATAACTGTTTCTGAATTGGACTGAGTTATTCTGAGGGGTATGGTGTATGTATGTATTATTTAAAAAAAGAAAAGAAAAGAAAAGAAAATTATGTACAAAATAGCCCAAGTCTGTTTCCCAAATGGATTTCAGGCATTTTTCAATTCTCTTTCTGGAAGTAACTGAAGTGGGAGTAGGGACTGTAGAGGTAAAAAGAGGTTTCAGCTGATGATGGGGACTGTGGGGCCTTGTGTTGGTGATGTGGGGCTGTAGAGTCCTGGTGAAGCAGCTCTGTGAAGTCTTGTGTTGGTGAAGTGGGGCTGTGGAGTCTTGTGTTGGTGAATTGAGACTGTGGAGTCTTGTGTTGGTGATGGGGGGCTATGGTGGAAGGAACTGGAAGTGAGATAACCTGGCTCCTGATTTTCTTCAGGTGTTCTGCAACTGGGTCATGAGTCACCTCTGTGTTCTCTACCTGCAAGATAGGGACCAAAGCTGAGGCCATGGCCGACAAAACTTGTGAAGTTGGCTTAGATGATAAATTATCTGTAATTTATAAATATAAATAATATAAATAAATTTTATATTTTGTAAATTATAATATATAGCACGTGGATGTTACCTGAAAATCTGCAGCGAGAGTTAGAAGGAAGAGGAGAAGGAGGAGGAGGGGGGAGAGGTGGGGAGAAGGAATAGGAAGAGAACCTCCAAATCCTAAGTAATTGTAGAACAACTTACTTTGAACCAAGAGCGACAGGTAGAGAGCATACCACACCACCATGGTTGTTGCAACCAGAACATGCTCCGGAGCAGCACTCCCATACAGGTAGTCTTCAGAAGTACAAAATTGATACAAAACACCCCAGTGCTATCACACTAGCAATGTCTTTACAAGAAAATATATGAGAGAACTAAAAATAGGAAAATACATGTGCATTTGTTCCTGTGTTTAACATTACCAAAACAAGCACAGAAAGGGTAAATTAATGAAATGGAGATTTACTAACCTGGAAGAAAGGGAACAGGAACAGAGGAAATTAAAATGTAGTGCCACTGCCTTTAAGGACAATTCGGTGCTCAATTTTGGCTTTAAAACTATTTTAATCTTTCACATATTAAAATAATCATGTTATTCTAGCATTAGGAGATGGATTTCAACAAAAGGAATCCTGCACAGCTAAGCAAGGTGTCAGCATGGAACAATTCAGTCTCTCCAGGTCGGTGGCTGCTCCCCAGGGTAACCTAGGGATTGTCACCAGTCAAACAAAGCAGACACCTTTGTCCAACAGACATTTACAGTGTGCCAGTTCCAGCCCACACCCGGTGGACACAGCTAGAGAGCAGACCCATGAGGCATGTGCAGTCTAGTCCAACCGGGATCCTACCCAGAGGTTGAAAACCACTGGTTTCTTATAAACCCAGGCTGGCCCAGGTTAGCAGGACCACTAGACACTGACTTTCGTGGGTTGTATTTGAAAGTGTTTCCAGGGGTTGAAGAATTTTCTAAGCCCTTGGTTCAATTTCCTAGGATAGGAAAGAAAAAGAAGGGAGAGAGAGGAGGAGGAGGAAGTTGAAAGAGATTTTGTTATTCACAGGTGAGAAGATCCTTAATAAATACTGCATACAAATTCCATAGAGTTATGCAAGATAACACATTTTGGGATTCATTTAAAATTCTGTCTTCTATTTCAGTCAGGAGCATACACCTGTTGTCCCAATTACTCTAGGAAAAAGGCGGCAAAGTTGCTTGAGCCCAAGAATTCAAAATTAGCCTTAACAAAATAGCAAGACCTTTCCTCCCAATAAAATAATATGAGATAACAAATAATAATAATAATAATAATAATAATAATAATAATAATAATAATAACAATACAGTCTTCCCTGCAAGAATGCAGGTTGGGGCAGAAAAGGCCCAGGAAGGCACTCAGAATAAGCAGCTAACCTAAGCCTTTGGTTTGAGTTTCAGTGATCTGGATGTGTGATCTGGGTGGAGCAGGTCACATTCATTCCCACTCCTGGGACAAAGCCATTTAAGAACCCAAGGGAGCCGGGAGGTGGTGGTGGTACACGCCTTTAATCCCAGCACTCCGGGGAGGCGCAGACGGGTCTCTGTGAGTTAGAGTGAGTGCCAAGACAGCCAGGACTACAGGAGAAACCCTCTAACTCCTCCCCCAACAAAAAGAACACCGGTGAAGTCTCCACACAAGAGTAAGGGGCACCGAAATCCTCCACCTGGAGTGCATTTCATTCAGGGTCGTGCTACCCAAGAACCTCTGGAGTTGAGTAGTCGTTAAGCGTTAAGCGGCCCTAATTGACGCGGGACTCCAAGCCTCGGAGGAGCGGGGAGAGGGGATGGTCAGCAAACCTCCAGTGAAAAAGATCTGAATACAAAACACCACTTTGCGAATTCTTGTGCCTGGCGCTAGGCAAGAGTTTGGAGGGCGGATTAGGGATTTCTCTGTGCTCTTACCTCTTAAACTCCGAGTTGAACAGGCTCTCCCTTAAAAGGATGCTTTTCCCCTTTTCCGAGCGGCTAGAAAACGTTTTCAAGTTTGAAATAGCATGTGATGATCTTATCAAAGAAGAGCAACGTATTTGAACTCAGGTCTGTTCATCTCAAGTGCTGCTCAAGGCGCCTTTTCCTTCTAGATTTCTTAATGGTGTATTTTATTCGCCACTGAATGACAAAGCCCTGGTATCCAGGGTCGCTCCAAACCTGGGAAAGCGGGAATCCAGCTCCGAATATCTGGAGCGCCTGGGCGGAGCTCCTGTTCACAGCCCTCAAAATCCCAAGTATCTCTCGGGCCATGGAGGTTCTCCTGAGTAAACATCCATCAGGAGGCCTTTCCCCTACACCTCTGGGAGTGGGTGGAATAGCACAATTTTCCAAGGAAGTTCCAGAAGAAGTTTTAATTCGCATTACAAATGCGTCTCAATGTTTTCTCTGCATATGTATACCGAGGATATATCGCAGAGGATAAAGGAATAAAACATCTACGAAGATAAAGCCTTATTTATGGTGATTAAAAAAAGAGACTATCTAAAATTATGAACTCATTCTGTTAAGGTCCATCTGCAATGCAGGACATTTTACTGTTACTTTGAATCATACTCAGAAAAACTAATGAATAGGTAAGTAAATCTAAACACTTGCAAAGATAAACAAGACTTATTTCTAAAAGGATGTTTTCAATCTTTCTTCCAATTTTTCCACTTTTCCAGGGTGTGCATAATAATTTTTATGATGAGAAAAAAAGAAAACAAGATAAAATGTCAATATATGTTTGGGTTATTACCAAATTTGAGATCCCTGAGGGCAAAAGGTGGGGAGTACGGGTTTATTTGGGGGTAGCATTATGCGCACATCTGCCAGCAAGAAGTAGTCTTCCCTACCCCTCCTCTCTCCCATCCGCATTTCTGAGTAGAAAAAAAAATCTGGACGCATATAGCTTCATCATAAAGATTACGTGATATGTATATGAAATTATTACATGATTATTTAATTGCAAAAAAAATCAAATTTGCTGAAAATTTTCTTCAAGTTTTTGTTTTTCAAAACTGTGCTCTAGACCTAGGAGATGGTTCAGACTAAAGATGCTTGATGGACCCCTGAGACACCCTCAAGTTGCCCTCTGGGCTTTCCTCCCTTTCCAATAAATAATTTTGTTTTTAAATTTTTGTGCTTTCTGGCTGGAGAGAGGGAGTTGGGTTTTCATCGGGATTTCAGGAAATAGCATCTAAACCTCTCGTGTAGCCGTGGATTTTCATGAGACAGTTTAAAAAACATTTTATCTGAAATTCCCTTAAATCTCTAGTGAGATCTTTTTTCATTTTAAACGATATGTTTAAATCCTGTATTGGGAATGAAACACCAAACCCTGCTTTCTTGATCTCATTAGCATGAGCCTAGGCGGCTGGAGGATTCTTGTTTACAAGGTGTCCTGCTTATTCTTCCAATGGATGCATCTTCCTCCTTACCTCATGAAAACGAAGTGTGAGAGAGGTTCGCCCTTTGTCCCAAACCCCTCACGTTGTATTCCACAGTCAAGATCATATCTGCCCACCCTCTCTGTGTTCCTACCTCGAACACCGCGGAGACACACTGTATACTCTACCCAAGCTACGTCCAAGAAGCGTTCCGGAGATCTAAGACAGGACAAAACTTCCCATTTATCCACGCTTGCTCAAGACACTCTTTAAGACAGAAGAAACCCGGGAAAGAGACGAGGTGAACCTATCTCTAAGTTTCTCCGGGGCGAGAATTTACCACTACAGAAATACTCAAAGATGGCCAGAGTACCGGCGCCCAACACAGCCTCTGCGCCTCAATTTCTTTTCCCTGTAAGTGACAGGTCAGCGCTGCGCTTCTTGTACTGGACTAAAGACTAACTCCACTGGCTGTGTCGGGCGTTAGGGTCCCCGAGAAGGAATCCAGCTTAGCCCCAACTGAGAAACCCCTCTCATCTCATTCCAGCTCTCTATTCCTCGGTTTTTCTTTGCCCTGGGAGTGTATACTGGAAAACCAGATGGACTGATTGCTCTGAAACTCCGAGTTAGCGCCTTCCAGGTACATCCTCTCGATGAGCCCCTCAGTCGGGAGTCCTCAGGAGCTCCTCGAAGCACCCTCTTGAGATACAGGCCACGCCCTTCTCCTCGTCTTTGTTTTTGAGAAGGGTCAGTCCTCCCAGAAAGGTGACGAGGGATTGAGGGCGAACAGAAGGGCCCAAAAGCCAGCGTTTGGGGAGGAGGGTGCTGGGTTAGCACGTGGTTTCTTTGGGAACCAATGGAGCCCGGCAATTTTGTCACCGGGTCCTGGTCCCCTACCCTGCAGACAAGGCCAAAGGAAGGCGTGGCCTGGACCTTGAGTGTGCGTCCAGGAGTCTCTTAGACCTGCCATCACAAAAGGGGAAGTTAGGAGTAGTGAGTGATACCTGGTAGTGGTAGAGAACTTGGCAGCTCCGCCCCCTAGGCCTCCGAGATGCTGCTGAGCCGGCTCACCTCCACTCCCTTCTCCGTGGACAACATCCTCAGGCTGGAGGGTGAGCAGAACGATGCCAAGACTCCGTCACAGTGGGAGTTGCATAGGAACCCAGAAAAGCCTCAGTACCTAACAATGGACCTGGAATCCGGAGGGCCAGAGAGCGGCGACAGGGCACAAGCTGGATCAGACCCTCTTCGGTTCCCCTGGGAGGCAGTCGTGGAAATGGAGCCAGGTGAGTAACAACCCAGGTTTCCTACCGGCATTATTGAAGGAGTGAGTCGTCACTGATGGAGAAAGAGACTGCGTCTTCTGAGGTCTCACCCCATCTTCCCTCATTTTAGGAGTCCAAAAGACAGCCTCACTCTTCCTAGCCAAGCCTCCTAAGGACTTGAATTGTAGGGTGTTCCCTCCCACAGTGGCCCCTCTGCTAGCCACAAAAACATGATTCCATTGGAGCCTGGTTCTGAGAGCTTCTTTCTCCCACCAAACTTCTTTACCATAACTTAGTTTATGCTCCATCACTACTGCCCTTGCCTGCCTAGCCCAAATCTTTCTGGAGGAAACAACCTAGGCTTGTTGATTTGTCTGAACACACACACACACACACACACACACACACACACACACACACACACACAATTTCTCTATAGAGAAAATGGGAGAGAAGAAACAAGTCTCTCTCTCTCTCTCTCTCTCTCTCTCTCTCTCTCTCTCTCTCTCTCTGTGTGTGTGTGTGTGTGTGTGTGTGTGTGTGTGTGTGTGTGTGTGTGTTGCTTTTCAGGTGGACTTGAGGGCACTTAAGAATAACTAGGACCCTAGCTAAGAAACTAATCCCTCCCAATCCTAGAATCTGGTCCAGAGTGCATGGGCAAGCCGAGAGGTCCAGGAACCTATCCTTAGCTTGTGGAAAGAGAAGGACAGACAGGGAGTTTATGTTCTGGGAGTTTCTACAATCAAAGTGGTATATAGACAGGAAAGGCCTGCCACTGGAAGAATGCAATGGCCACTGTCCTCCTACCCAGACAGTGTGTGCCAGGAGTAGTCACACCTCCAGTCCGAGGTGGGGAGGAGAGGAGATTGGCACCACCAGCCTCCCCTACCAAGCCAGGCTGCATATAATCAATCACAAGGGCACCTTCAGAATTACCCTGGACTTGAGGCTGTTTATCAACCGTCTTCTAGAAGCCTGGACAACACTTGGTTGTGTTAGAAAAGAAACCCTTGGGTTTTCTGCGGCGGTGGACACTAACATTCAGTTCTTGGGTACGGGCCCGCTAACGTGAAGTTCCTTTCAGCTTTGCTGAGAAAGGCCTACGACAGCTTCTCTCCCCACTGCCCCAGCCGCAGGCACACCTGGGGATGTCCCTTGACTGGCACCCTGTCTTCTGCCACTGTGATAGCCACACAGGGCCCACCCAAGCCTGGCCCTGAGGGCTGTAGGTCAGGGGAATGGACCATCTGGCAGGCTTCACCACAACATGTGACATGCATCCCCATCTGACCCTCTTGCTGTCTTGAAAGCAGGGCTCAGAGCTCTCCAGTTGTGACTAAGAGGGTACAGGATGCTAACTCTTCACTTTCTATTTATTTATTATTTATTTATTTAGGTTTTGGATTTTTTTTTGAGACAGGATCTCACTATGGTTGAAATCAACCTTTAGTGTGTCGGTTGGCATGGACAAGTAGCAAATCATTTCTATTGCCTAAACATGAAATTCAAGGAAGCCAAATGCCATTTTGTGTTCAGTTCCCTGCTGTTTGTCCTACCAAAGCTAAGTCCTGTCGGACCCAGAGCTCCCATTAATAAATCGAGTTTATTTTCAGTCAACTTCAATGACCTCAGCTGCTGAGGGTACGTTTTTCATAATTTTTGAGATCTACAATTAAAGTTTCTACTGTGTTTTTGGATTTACCCGTGTGGGGGCTCTTTTCCTGATGGGAACTTTGAAACTATGAATAGCCTGTTTTTGAGATCTACAATTAAAGTTTCTACTGTGTTTTTGGATTTACCCGTGTGGGGGCTCTTTTCCTGATGGGGACTTTGAAACTATGAATAGCCTGTTTTTGAGATCTACAATTAAAGTTTCTACTGTGTTTTGGGATTTACCCGTGTGGGGGCTCTTTTCCTGATGGGAACTTTGAAACTATGAATAGCCTGGAGCTGGCTATGTAGATCAGGCTGACCGGAACTTAGAACGAGTAGAAAGCCTTTGCTGAGTCAGCGACTTTCTTTTTTTTTTTTTTTTTTTTTTGGTTTTTTCGAGACAGGGTTTCTCTGTGTAGCTTTGCGCCTTTCCTGGAACTCACTTGGTAGTCCAGGCTGGCCTTGAACTCACAGAGATCCGCCTGGCTCTGCCTCCCGAGTGCTGGGATTAAAGGCGTGCGCCACCACCGCAGCGACTTTCAATTGGCGTCTCCTGCTCTCTTGCTCGCTCTGCAGCATCGCTGGAGGTCAGTCTCATTTAGATTTTTAAAATGAACACTCCTGTTTTCCCACTTTTGGTGTCCTCGGTTTCTACGAGCACAGATGCCCCTGGGGTGGGGGTCTCTCCCTAAACTTTAGTCCTTCCCCAGAAGTTATGCGCTGGGCTGGGGGTTGAGAACCAGGATCTCAACCCGAGCCATCCGGCCCTCCTGAGAGCCTTGGCCCGGCCCGTCTTGCCCTCACTTCGGGGCCCTTAGATGTTCCCTTCCATGCCCCTGGATTTTTCCGGGTGTGAGTTTCCTCTCCATCCTCCTTGGGGAACAGAGTTTAAGTCAAGACAAGAGACATGGAAAGCAAGGGGGAGGCTGCATTTAGGCGGGTCTGCGCACAGTCACAGTCCGGCTGAGGGAAGGACTACAAGGGAACCACCACGGGGCCACCGGCTTGCCAAAAGGACCCTAAAGGAGGTAGGGACTGTTTATCAAAATGCCAAAATGTGGATCTCAACTTCACGTATCGAAGAGAACCTCTATTTCCAAGTCTGAGAGTCGGGATCAGGAAATAGCTGGCTTTTAATCTGCTCAGGATATATCTTGTTCTTAATTTGCACCGCAGAGCATCGTGTTTATGAAGTTTAAGGTCCAGCCCCATTCTAATAGGCCCGCACACTCACGTTTTAAGATTCCTCAAACTGTTGGACTACCAGACACCATTGAAGAAAATAGGCACACCTGATCCGGAATCTACTTATCGGCGAAACAAAGAGTGCACGGAGGTGGAGGGGGTGGATCACAGTACATCAGACTTGACTTGGGCTGAGAAATACAGCATCTGAGATCTGCCTGGGAGGCGGGTGGGGAAGGGTGAGGACAAAGGGATGCTCAGTGAAGGCTGCCAAGGAGTGCGCTGTCTAGTGAAAGCAAGCTGAGCCTGTTGCTGGCTGTTGACGGTGTTCCTTCCGTGTGATTGTAGAGACTCCTCCGCGCGCGACCTCCCCGCTTGGAGCTGGGAACCCGAGGATGGAGCGCGGCGCGGGCGACGGCGGTGGCGACAGCGTACACCGGGGCGGCCCGGAGCCGGCCAGGACGCGGCCGCGGCGGAAGCCCCGCGTGCTCTTCTCGCAGGCCCAGGTGCTGGCCCTGGAGCGCCGCTTCAAGCAGCAGCGGTACCTGTCTGCCCCTGAGCGTGAGCACCTGGCCAGCGCGCTGCAGCTCACGTCCACGCAGGTCAAGATCTGGTTCCAAAACCGGCGCTACAAGTGCAAGAGGCAGCGCCAGGACCAGACCCTGGAACTGGCGGGCCACCCACTGACGCCGCGCCGGGTGGCAGTCCCCGTACTGGTGCTGGACGGCAAGCCCTGCCTGGGTCCTGACGCCCCCGCGTTCCCGGGTCCCTACGCGGCCACCGCGCCCCATTCTTGCTTCGGCGGCTACTCGGGCACTCCCTATAGTGCTAGCTACGCGGGCCGCTACACCGGCGCTGGCCCGGGGCCACTCACACCACTGGCCAGCTCTGGCTTCAGCCCAGGTGGCCCGAGTGCCGCCCCGCAGGGCCATCTGCCCGCCACGCTACAGGGAGTCACGGCCTGGTGAAAAGCCGGGGCTCAGCTACTGCCAGTTAGGGCCTGGTGCCTGGTCCCCTCCCCTTCCAGCTGCTCGCCAGCGAGTTGAGCGTCCGCCAAGGGGCTGAAAAGCGGCGATCCGTCTTGCACAGTCTTCCTTACTGCTCGGCCCAGAGGAGCGGCCCGCCGTAGGCGCTGAGAACATTCTTTCTCTCCGAGATGTAGCTGGGCTTTGGCTGGCCACCTAGATGCTATACAATGAGGATAGCACGGTGGCTGACAGTTTGGAAGCAGGTGATTCTGAGCCACAACCCACTTTAAACAATTGTAAGCATCCTGGAGGCCTGGAGATCAAGGCTGTCCGCACTCCATCCCTTAAAGGAACAAGTGCGCAGGGGAGAGGGGATGCAAGGTTGAGAAGAGAAAATTATCAAGTCGCTGAAGATACCAGAGGACAGGAGCCTGAAAGTGCCCCAGACATGGTTTAGGGTTGAAGCATCCTGGACCTCCGGGGAACATCCACCGGAGAGCATTTCCCCTGGTGGTGATCTCACCTCCAGAGGGGCCTCTCTACTCTCAGCCACTGCATTTTGTGCAGGGAACAGCGGGACCAGTAAACGAGCTAACTATATTCGGTGTGTTCGCGTGTTATAGACAGCAGGACCCTCAAGAGGGCGTGGTGACATGCACCTGTAATCCCACCACTCAGGAGACCCAAGCGGGAGGATTGGGGAGTTCGAGGCCAACCTGGGCTACATAAGGAGCCCCTGCATCCAAAGCAAAATAAGTCTAGGGAGATAGTTGATTCAGCCCTGAAGGTAGGTTATCGGGTTTTTCCTAGTAACTTTTCTCCTCTTTGTAGATACTCTTAGGGGGACATTTAAAGTTCCCATCAGGAAAATATCCCTGCCCCCACCCCAGGTAAATCTAAAAAGATAGAAGCTTTAACTATGGGCTCTTCAAAATTATGAAAAATTTACACTCCCCCCCGCCAATCTTAAGTTATTCAACCTGAAGACTGAAAATAAACTCTTTAGTGGGAACACGGGGTCAAATATGAGTTTAGCTTTGGTAGAAAAAACAGAGCAGGGGATTGAAGTAGAAAAATGTGCCACCAGCTTCCTTGGACTTCATTTCCAACCACGAGAATCCCAATTCTGTACCTCTTCAACTGATATCAAAAGCTAAATTCTATTATTGAACAGGTTTCCGTATTTAATTAAAAGGGACTCCCTCAAGTTTTCCCTGGATGGCATACTCCCAGGTTGTTTCCATTAAAGTGAGGAAGGGGTGGGTTCGATCTTCTCTGAAAGATGCTCAACTGTTGGCAGCTTGCATCCCTTAAGAGTTAAATGCCTAAGCTAGGGCAAATCAAAGCCACTGTTCCAATTTAAAATCTGCTACCACTTTCTCCCTTTTACATTTATTCACTGGGGGAGGGAGGAAGTGCATGCCTTGCCATGGTGCCTATAGTCAGAGGACAAAGAGAATGAGTCCTCTCTCCTTTCACCCTGTGGGTTTGGGTGTTGGAACCCAGGCTTAGTGGCCAGCACCTTTATCCACAGAACCATCTCTATGCTTCAGTATCACTCTCTCAGACCTTCCTTTTGTTCTCTTCCTCTTGTTTTTCATTTCTTCACTATTAATAAAAGTCTATTTAGAAGTGCATCAGTGTCCTGCAATTCGTGTTGTGCCCTGGGACTTAAAAGACAGAAGTGTACAATAATGGCCAGAAAGGTAGCTCGATGGGTAGAGTGCGAGCCTTGCATGTGGGAGACCCTGAACTGGATCCCCACCACTTCAGAAACTCAGCGCAGTGGCACAGACTTGTAATTCCAGCTCTCTGGAGGTGGAAGCAGAAGCAGAGGCAACAGGGCTATCCTTGGCTATGAAGCCAGTGAAGGTCTGCCTGAGCAACATGAGACCCTGTCTAAATAAAATTAAACTTAAAAAAAAGCAGTACATATTCATATTTGAAAATCCCACTAAGAGCTAAAGACTCAACTGATATCTCTATCCTGTGAGAATCCTCAGCTGGGGTCTCCTGACTGTCCCTTTGAAGGGTGTGCTTGCCAAAGGAGGGAGCAATTTTTTTTTGGACACTGGTGCTAGATCAGAACAGACACCTTTCAGTTCAGTGTTGCCAATGAAGCCTATCAAGTTTTCCTAAGAAGTTCCCCCAAAAAAAGCTCCCTTGAACAGGCCCCACCCTAGACAGATACATAGAGTATCACATTCTAGATTTTTTGGAACAGAGCAGGAAATTAATGTTATCCCCTTCCCCTTTCCTGTCTTTCTGGCCTAGAAAAGTCATAGAAGCAACAGTGTGCTGTGTTCTGGATAGGTCCTGGCTCTTGGATTAAGCCAAGTTAGACTCCCAGGCCTTCCCACTCAGGGGAAGCACTTTGGAAGAAAGCCAAGAGGATGGGGGCTCCCTGAGGGAAAGCCAGGGAGGCTCAGGTCTGCCATGCTGGGTCATCACAGCTGCACCTTCCCTGTAGGGGCACAAGAGCAAATGAGATATGGCTGCTGTCCTTCGGGCCTTTATTATCTAAGCTAGGGAAAGGCAATTCTGGAAAGGTGTCTGAAAATAGAAGGTGGTGTATACTGTGTGTCAGACAGGACAGATGAAAACTCCGGAAAGAAACCCCAGCTGGGGATGGTGTAAGGGGAAGCTGTGGAGAAGGGGTGCCTGACTTCGGTGATGAGTGTGGGAAGGACTCTGTTTCTCCCAGAGAGGCCCAGATCTTTGCTATGGAGACAAGGAGAGGTTCCAATGTTGGGGCCACCGTCCTGTTCCAGGGGTTTGAGCTGCACACCAAAGCATGCATTTGGAGTTTGGGAGTTACACACAATTCACTGAAACTCCATTCAGTGGCCTCCCTTTTCTTTCAAACACGGACCGTGGGACCATATCACAACCACGCTTAAGGAAGGCCCAGGACACACAGTAATGTGAAGACCCCATGTCAGCCTTATGGACCATCATCTTTTGTTACCTGTATCCCCTAGTTTTCTGTGACACCCCTGTTTGGCTAGCTTCAAACATAAAAACAATAACAATGGCAGAACCCGGTTCACACACATCCCAGAGGGAAGTCTTTTTCCGAAGACAGAAAGGAAGTCTGGGCATCTCAGGACACCAAAGATTTGTTCCTTAAGGAAAGGGGAGAAGAGAAAACTCTTTTCTCCCCACTGTGCCCAACAGTTGCTGTGAAAAGCACCCCCCACACACCCCAGCCTTGGAAGTCCCCAACCCCCAGCTGTCAATCTTCGCTGTAATCTGTCCAGGACTAAAAGCTGCCGCTTTGTGAGTCCCTCACTGGTGCTTATCCTCACGGGGCTTTTACTGGGGAGGGAGCTGCTCTGTAAGCAACCCTAGCCTTATCTGCATCCTTCAGGCCCATCACTCCAGTCACCTCTGAATGTTCACAAGTCCCCCCAAATGGGAAGTAATTGACCTCTAAACAAAACAAAAAAGCTCTCAGAGAGATAGCAAAGGTTCCTGTCCTGACTGTCCCAGGGCCAGGGGCTTCACCTAGGCCAGGTGGGTGAGTCAATACATTTGCAGACTTTCTGGCTCCTGATCCTTCATCTCCCAGCCCATCCCCCACCCCACCCCCTTAAGTCCACTGGTTCCCAGGCTGTGTACCAAATAGAGTCTAGACGGGTGTTGTGAAAGATTTGAGACATTTACTTTTGTAATGCTATCATTATCATCAATGTTATCACCACCACCACCATCATCTTTCTGAGTTGGAGGGTGTATGTAAATCTTTTAAAGCTTCCATTCGGAAAGTATCTAGAATTCCCAGCGCTCATGTGCCCTCCTCATATGAATCAGCTCAATGACTGGATCTTTTCCTTTGCTGGGAAAGAAGCGGACTAAGGTTTAAGTCAGTGCCCTGAGCCCTCCCCTTTGGAAGACTGATAGCGAGTTAGTTGTTGTATCGCTTTGGCCCCAGTTTAGTTAGGAACATGCTCTGTGACCTTGGGTCGGCCTCCTAACCCCTCTGTGCTTGTTCTCCCCATCTGTAAAACTAAGGAGCAAGAAATCCGAGGCCATCATTCTGACTCTGGGTGGCTCTCTGTTGCTTTCGCACACCCTTTCATTTTTAAAACTAGGAGATATATAGATACCATGTCCAGAATGCTGCATAAAACATCTAGACACTGTTTAAAGGACACTTGTGAAGTGAACAGATTCTGTCAACAATCCACAGTTAACCACTCAATCATGGGGTGCCTGTCCTCCTACAGCTCTGCTCCCCATATCCCTCCCAAAATGCAACCTCTCCTCTTCCTCCCCCATCCCCCAGAGGAGGTCCCAGCTGCTGAGATGGAGATTTTCAGGCTTTTTATTATGGATCTGGTCATGTGGATGCTTCCTTCAGCTGTGATTTAATCGTGTCTGGTTTTGAAGGGTGCTGGGGATCAACCTGTGTGGACTCTTTTGTGACTGGCCTCCTTTATTCCATGTACTGTGTGGGGATGCATCCAGGCTGTTGGGTGTAACTTAGGTTAGTTGGTGTGCTGCACTAGAAGGTACTAGGTGTGTGTACTTTAATGCCTGTGTTAACCAATAGTGTAGGTCATTTATAGCTGGGGACAGTCACACTGCTTTCTTTAGTGGTGCCATTTCTCATGGGCACTGCTGGAATCTACAGCTGGGGTTTGTCTCTTCTCGCTATTGTGACTTGCTGGGCGATGATCTACCTGCCAGTGGGCTTCTCTTCACTTGTGAGCAGTTTTGTGTGTGTGTGTGTGTGTGTGTGAATGTATGTGTCACTTTCTCTGTTTTGCTCTGTCTCTCTGTCTCTGTCTGTCTGTCGTCTGTCTTTGTCTGTCTGCCTGTCTCTCTTTCTCTCAGTGTGTGTGTGTGTGTGTGTGTGTGTGTGTGTGTGTGTGTGTGTGTGTGATTATGGATGAACCCAGGGCCTCACGCATGCCAGGCAAGTGCTCTACCACTGAGACACATCCCCAATGCTAGATTTCTATGGATGTAGTGAATACCCACCTACCACTGGTCTA